CAGACTGGCGAAACCTTGATCTCATCATTAGGAATGTTCTTTGCCTTCTGAAATCTCAAATTTGAAGCTACCCAGTATTTTTCTCAGCATCCTTGCTTTCTGCCTTTTTACTCCACATTCGACAATTGACTTTCTCCCTCGCCGCCGCCCCCCCTCTCCTAACTAGAGAGACAGTTCCTTCAAAACTTGCTCCTCTTAGCCAGGCATTGGTGGCACATGGCTGTAATCCCAGCTGTTGGGAAAGCGGAGGTTGGAGAACCACAAGTTTAAAGCCAGACTCAGCAATTTAGAGAGATCCTATCTCAAAATAAAAGACAAAAAAAAAAAAGGGCTGGGATATGGTTCAATGGTTAAGCACCACCTTGGTACCAGAGTTCAATCCATAAAACAAAAAACAAACAGAAAATTTGCTCCTCTTAAAAAGAAAAGTGTGCGAGAATCTAATGAAAATTGAAAGAAGTTCAGCAGAGTAGAAGAATGAGACCAATGGGAAGGAGCAGGGGAGAGAAATGGGATATACTGGGGATAATATGGGTCAAAGATATTGTTATATTGCATGCATGTATGAATATGCAATAACGAATCCCACCATTTTGTACAATTATAATGCACTCATAAACAATATGGAAGAAAACACTTGCACCTCTTTCTTCAATAGCAGTTATGAAAACCACTCCCAAAGTTGAGACTTGAAGCAATTTAAACTTTGCCTTCTTCCTTAATTACACATTCACTATTAGTATACAGACTTCCTGGGTCTGTTCTTACCTTGTTCCCATCCTTTCCTGCCTTTCCATTCTGTTTTTGTGCTTGCTTTAATTCCACCTTTCTCCCAGGATTCCTTAGTAAGCTTTAGAATGACACTGTGCCTTCTGTTTCTCTCTAGATTGCTAAATGTCTCTTTAAGTATTAAAATAGTTAATGCTTCCTTTCCATTCTATATTTTAAATATTAAATATTCATACTTATGAGTGGTTTATTTCTTTTGAGGATTAGGACTGTAAGATAAATTAACTTAATGTTGGAAAAATTTTAAGGACTGGCCATCTATACTTATATTAGATAAAACTGTAAAAAGTCATCATTACCAGGCCATCTTGTAATTAAAAGTTTCTGTTATTTTTGAAGTACTGCAAAAGGTTCCAAATCCATATATTAGATAATAAAATAGTAAAGCAAACATTTATATACCTAAGTATATAAGTACATATACTTATATATTTAGGTGGAATGTTTAAGTGGAATATTCTAAAAACTCTTCCTGTCAAATCAGTTTATCTTTGATCTCTTTCTTTTTTACTTGTTTTTTTGGGGGGGTATTGAACTCAGGGCCACATCCCCAGCCCTATTTTGTGTTTTATTTAGAGACAGGGTCTCACTGAATTGCTAAGTTGCCTTGCTAAATTGCTGAGGCTGGCTTTGAACTCATGATTCTCCTGCTTCAGCCTCCCGAGCTGCTGGGATTATAGGCATGTAACACACCCAGGACTCTTTCTTTTTTTCTACTCTCATGCTTTTCATGCATTGGTTTTGATGAAATGAAACTTAATGTGGTTTCTTTTGTGGCCAATGCATCATTGCTTAGCCCCAAAATGTTAAAAAGGCCAAGGACCGAGGTTTGATTTCCCAATGGCTCAGCTATTTTCCTGTTGATTTGAAGTCACAGGCTGTCCTTCAAACCTTGTCCAAACATTTCATAAATGAGAGAGACAGAGAAAGGGAGTCAGAATGCCTCAGTGGCAATTCACTATAAAACAAGTTAAGACACATATTCTACTGTAAAGGGTTAAAGAATTTCATCCTCTCTCTTGCACAAACAATTCAGTATTTATTTTATTTTCATCATGTGCTGCAAATTGTACCCTTATGATCCTCAACAGTTCTCCTTTCTTCGGATTTGCCTTAGTTCCTGAATCGACCAGGCAGTTATGACTCAGTAAACATTTTGTAAGTTCAAGATATCACAGAGGAAAAATACATTTAATACACTTAATCTACCTGATAGAACAGCTTACCAACATAGTATACTGTAGAGTATTGGTAGTTAACCCTTGTGATTGCATGCTCACTAGGAGCTATCTCTCTGCTGCTTGATGTCACCAGTCTGGGAAAAGGTCAAAATTCAAAATATGAATTATGTTTTCTACTGAATGCAAATCACTTTGGTGCTGCAATAGAGTTGAACCCCCATAAATCAGTGATTGTTTTTAATAGAAGTGTAAAAACTTTACTTAGTTCCCCTGACCCCAAACTCATGGTCTTCCTGTAGTCTTTTTTTTTTTTTTTTTTTTTTTTTTTTGTGGTGCTGGGGATTGAACCCAGGGCCTGTGCATGCAAGGTGAGCACTCTACCTACTGAGCTATATATCCAGTCTAAGGTCTTCTGAAGGCCATGAAAAGTGAATTATACAACCAGGAGCTTAGGGGAGACAAGAAAGCATTATATTTATTTGGAAGATTGTCATGTTTTATTTAGACATTCATTCATATTCTTTCTCTAATCTTTAAGCTGGATGCTTACTGAATTTACCAAGAGGCAGTGTACACAAAAAGAACATGATTGATGGACTGTGACCCTTCGCTCTACTTCTATCACTAGTTATGATTAATTTTAAATTGGTAAATTCTCTTATTTAGTTGTTATTTGTTCTTTTTAGATATGTAGGACAGCATAATGTATTTTGACATATTATACATAGATGGAGTATAACTTATTCTAATTAGGACCCATTCTTGTGATTGTATGATATGGAGTTACACTGGTGGTGTATTCATATATGAACACAGGAAATTATATCCGATTCATTCTGTCCTTCCTATTCCCTCCCCCTCTCCCTTCTCTTTATTCCCCTTTGTCTAATCCACTGAACTCTATTCTCCACCCCCCCCACCTTATTGTGTGCTAGCATCTGCATATCAGAGAGAATATTTGGCCTTCGGTTTTTTGGGATTGACTTATTTCACTTAGCATGATAAGCTCCAGATCCATCCATCCATCCATTTACTGGCAAATGCCATAATTTCATTTCTCTTTATGGCTGAGTAATATTCCATTGTGTGTATACACCACACTTTCTTTATTCATTCATCTGCTGAAGGGCTCCTAGGTTGGTTCCATAGCTTAGCTATTGTGAATTGAGCTGTTACAAACATTGATGTGGCTGTGTCTAAATTGGTAAGTTTCTTAATCTCCAAATTTGTTTCCTTGTGAGAAAAAAATATATACTTGATATTGTTCAAAGAAAGAATGAAATAAGATGATGTACATAAAATGTATTTTATGTACATCATCTTATATAAAATGTATTTTATGTACATCATCTTATTTCATTCTTTGAACAATATCAAGTATATATTGAAATTATGGCATTTGCCAATGAAAATATGGTGTGAGGCATGTATATAATGTTAAAATTTCCAGAATCCACATTTTAAAAAGGCAAAGTTGATTTTAATAATATAATATACTTAATTAAATATAAAATATAATTTCAGTATGTAATCAATATAAAAATTATTAGTATTTTTTTCATACTGTCTTTGAAACCCAGAATGCATCTTAAACTTCCAACATATCTCAGGTTGGGCGCTGTTATGGTTTGGATCTGTAATATCCCCCAAAGTATCATGTGTTGAAAGCTTGGTTCCCAGTGCAGCAATGTCAAAGAAGGGGATTTGGGGAAGTGATTGGATGGTGAGGGCTCTGACCTCATCAATATATCAAACTACTGATAGCTGAGGGACTACTGGGAGGCGGTGGAAATGTTAGGCAGTTAGAGCCTGATTGGAAGAAGTAGGTGACTGAGGCATGCTTTTCTGGACTATTGTGTTGTGTCGTCCCATTTCCCTAACCCCCCTTTCCCAGTAGCCAGGAGCTGAGCAGTTTTTCTCTCTCACTTCCTTCTGCCATGATGTTTTGCCTCACACCTCAGGTCCAAAGCACAGAGCCAGCCTACTATGAACGGAAACTTCTGAAACTATGAGCCAAAATAAATCCTCCACAGATTTTTTTTTCTCAGTTATTTATCATAGCAACAAAATTGACTAACACAGGTCCAAATTTCCGCAAGTAAAATGAATGTAGTCCTATCCAAAGTAGTGTTTAATAGAAATGTTATTCTGCCTGTTTTGAATTTTGAATTAATTAAAATTACATACAACAAAAAATTTCAGTGCCTCAGTCCCAGTACATCACAGTTCAACTGTTCAGTAGCCACATGCGGACTAGTAGCTACTGTTTTGGACAGAGTAGGTTTGAACCTTCTCTAAAATTTTGTTTATACTTCTAGGGGTTCACGGACTTCATGAGGTTTATTTTTGTTTTATATGCCCCTTTAACTAAGAATGGCCCTTTCACACTTTAAAAACAAATTTACCATGTAAAAGGTTCTACAGGTTCCTTTTCATATGTTCACTGAACAATATTCACGTTTGCTTATGAATAAATTCCTGAGGCTAAAGCAAGCAACTTTATGGAAGCAGGAGAGTGGGCTATTGATTTGGACTTGGAACAATAAGTTGCATCACTCTTTGGCCACTGCTTTCTATCACTGCGGTGTGATGATGGATTTAACTTCTTCGTATTTAGGCATTTTCAATTCCTGATAGGTAAATTTAGTGTTTGCACTTCTCAGAGTATGTATAAAGGTCAAAAAACCAGGCAATAGTCGCTGAACTTGCATAGACAGGGATTTATCCAAAACCCCTTTCTATTTTTAGCCAGAGTAACTGCTGGCCAATTTGTTTCCGGAGATAGAAATGTACCCAACTACAAAACCGACACGCGGAAGGCTAAACCTCCGCCAGGTACTGCGTGGAATCCCCTAAGACTACTCCCACCGAAATTCCATAAAGTTACTATTTTTCTGTTGCAGCTTCAGCCATCCACAGCAAGCCCCTGATCCTGGCTCTGCTACAACCTTCTCTGGGCGCACCAAGACTCAGCGCGGCTCCGGGGCGTGGTCGGGTGCGGAGGGGCGGGGCCGGCCCAGAGGCGGGGCCGGGGAGGGAGAGGGCGGAAGTTCCCCGCAGGCCTTGGGGAGGACGCGCGCACCGGGAGTCACTTGTCAGCGCTCTACTGAGGCGGAGGCATCGCGGTGCCGGTCCGGAGGTGAGTGGCCGTGGTGGTGCGCGAGCGTATCCGATTCCTCACAGGGAGCAAGGGAAAAGCTGCTGCCGCGCGCCACACGCGAGGAGGGAAGCCTATTTGAGAGGAGGAAGGGGCGCGCTTCGCACGCGGGTGGCTCCTCAGGTGCTTTCTGGGCGCAGATCGGCGGAGGTGGGCGAGCGTCAGGGAGGAAGGAGTGCGGGTGAAAGGGCAGCGGGAGCCTGGAGGGCAGCGGGAGCCTGGGCGTGAAGCTGGAGGGCGAGCCTGGAAGTCTTCGCGGCTCTGGCTGGCCGGGACAAGAGCACCGGAGACCGGGGCGCGGGAGCGGGCGCCCAGGGGCTCCAGGGCGCAGCCGCACCGACCCGACTGGCCGGCTCCCTGCGTTGCTGGGCACCGCCTTGACATCGGGTGCACTCCCGTCCAGCGCAGACCTCTCAGGGGTGTTGGGAGGCAGCGGGACCAAACGGTCTTTAATTTTTGTTTGCTCTCAGGCTACTGAGAATCATTTATTTCCACCTTAAGTATTCACAGTAGCGTAACCTGTTTGGGGAAAACTTCCGTGCGTCCAGAAATAAAACTGGCTTGGAAAACAAATCTGTCACGAACACCACATTTATTAATACTTGGCATATTTGATGGGGACTTTTGTAAGACTCTGCCTTCGGTACGTTTGACAATAAGTGGAAAGAGGAAGGGCGTATAGAACCGGTAAGAACTTGGAAAGAAAATTTGTGGCTGCGCAGGGCTGGGCAGGTTTAGGGTGTGAACGCCGGATCCTATCCCAAGTCCGCCTTCCTGACCGTGAGGACGTCTGAACCCGCCTGCCACGGAAACAGCCTGCTTGGGAGCCTTATTTGGCAAACGGGGTTAGGCGTGAACCTCAGCTGGAAAACTGTCTTGTCGACCGCTTTCATTCTGTTCCTGTAGCGTTAGTTCTTCAGCATTACCTCTATTATCAATAGTGTGTGGGGGGGAACCTCAAGATGTTTCTCTTTCATTTCAGGCCCCTCTTGTCACTCAGTAGTCCATCATGAGCTCTCTCCCCTCTCCCACCCACCATAGAAGTTGGGACACAAAGTGTGGGAAATACCAAGCTTCCCTTCTTAGTACCAAGCAAAGACTGTTTAGACTTTCCCTAAAAGAAAATCCAGAACTATACAGAAATTCCAACATTTTCTACGTGCTTGAAAACAGAATAGGCAGAATAGGCTGCTATTTCCTGTCTGCTTGGCATTCTACGAAGGGTTTTGGGCACTAATAACTGCATGAAGGAGACCTGGAAAAGGCCAATAAAAATATTGCCAATGCTTAGGGATCAGAATATTTTAAGCAAATGAATTCCAAGTGAAGCTAGCAGGAGAATCTGGAAAAGAAATGACACTGATTTTCTTGTGTGGCTGTGACCTTGCCAATGATAGAAATTTTCATAACAAATGGGAGAAGTCAGGAAGGAAATCCCCAAGTAAAGAGAAGTTAATTATATACATAGGTTGATACATACATGAAATACATTTTTCTTGTAGAGAAGACTGGGACCATAGGAAGTTTAGCCAAATTTTCATCTTTTTCCCTCTGTCACAGGTTAAAGGTTAAAAAAAAGAAGACAGAGGACAAAATAACAGTTGGATTTACGTAAATCTGATTTGTATTGTATGCCAACATCAAGACTTTTTATCTACTCATTTTAGGAAAATCTCTTTATAATGGGAAAGGAATTAAATTATGTGTAGTTTCTAATTAACTCCTAGCTATTCCCTTTTCACCTATGTGTAGAAATTTGACTTCTGCTGTGGCCTTTTGATTCTTTATTAGTGGTCTGCATATATACTTCAGTCCTGAAATAACATGTTATTGCCTGGTGGTTAATCCACTACCATGCCCGTGGAAATGCTCATGTATTTTCTAGGTAGATGCAGTACACATTATCCCTGAATGTTTTCTTTAAGAACCAGGCTTATTTTAAAGTATTGCCTCATTTTCCTTTTTTGAGAAGAAACCTGTTTATATATACCCACTGGTTTAAATATCTACATTTGCTAATATGAATTTGGTGTGACGGGATAGAAATTTTGAAAGGGTTAAAAAATGGAAGATATATTTTAAGACAGATAATAGAAGGTGATGATTTGACTTAACAGCTCAGATTTTCTAAGGAAGTGTGTATCTTAGCTTAAAAAAGTATTTTTTTTTTTTAAATTAGACCTCTGTTATATTTTTAAAAGAGAGACTTTTAATGTTTCTTTGTATTACATTAAAAATAATCTTCATTTCTCCTAGTATCTCCACCACAGTAACAACCGATAGGAAACTCCACGTTAGACTTTTTAAAACAAATAATTTTTAAAACAAATTATTTAAAGTAGAGTCATTATGAGCATACTTAAAGCAAAACAGAACAAAGAAGACACTAGTTCTTTCCTAACACTCAGATTCAATATCATACATTATAGTTAACCTTGTACTTCTATGTTTAATCAGAGTCTTATTTACTGGGTGGTAAATGCTTACTTTCTGCTTTGCCTGATGAGGTATGTGTATAAAACAAGAAGAAGGTTCTGACTAAAATATCAGCTATTATCATTGTCTATCTGAAGGAAAAATAAATATTACTTTAAGTATGGAAAGTACCATGCCTCTATAAGAGGGAATATAAGTTGTAGTTCTTAATTGGAGAGAATAGTTTTGTGCTATGAAAAGACAACTTGTCATTTTAAGTAATTCAGTATTTAGAAGACATGATTTGAATCTCCTGGTTTGAAGTCCTTTCATATGTTAGGATAACTTAGATTTTTAGGTCAGTGAAATTGAAGGCTCTTGTCAACCACAGGCAGAAAAAATGCATGAGGTAGAGGGAAGGAGAAAATCATTTTGAATTAATTCTGAAATAAAATCTTGTTCTGGGCTGGAGGTGTAGTGTAGTGGTAGAGTGCTTGCCTAACATGCCTGAGGCCCTGGGTTGGATCTGCTGGTGTGCTGGAGAGAGAGAGAGAGAGAGAGAGAGAGAGAGAGAGAGAGAGAGAGAGAGAGGGACAGAGACACACACACATACCTTGTTCTTATATACATTAATAAATTGTTGTACAATACATTGAATTAAAGTTTGTATACAAGAAGTCAGAAAAATGGATTGTAGCAAGTTATAAAACTGATCAAGTAGCTATAGAAATATTCAGGTATGGAATTTTTAGACTATAGAAATTGTCATGAGTTTAAATGTATGTCAATTAACTAATAGTATTTTTTTCTTTCTTTTCTTTTTTTTTTTTTTTTTTGGTACTGGTGGATTGAACCCAGGGGCACTTAACCTCTGAGCCACATCCCTAGCCCTTTTTTATATTTTATTTAGATTCAGTGTCTCTATGAGTTGCTTAGGGCCTCGCTAAGTTGTTGAGGCTGGCTTTGAACTGGTGATCCCTCTGCTCTGGCCTCCAGGACCACTGGAATTACAGTCATGCACCATGGTCCCTGGCAATTTTACTTTTTAAAAGGACTGAAATTAGTGAAGAACTTAATAGACTTATCCTCTATATTTCTTCACCTCCTCCCAAAAATACTGAACATAATTTAGTTGGCTTTTTATTAAATACATTTAGGTATGTAATAGGAATTTGAATAAACAGTTTTGTTAACCATCTAATTTTCTTTCACAGTTTCTTGCATTTTCTGGCCTTGGACTTTGAGCCATTAGAACCATGAGCAACTACAGTGTGTCCTTGGTTGGCCCAGCTCCTTGGGGTTTCCGGCTGCAAGGTGGCAAGGATTTCAACATGCCTCTGACAATCTCTAGTGTAAGCAAACTTTACAGATTTTATTACAGTTGTTCATTCAGTACTTAGTCCTGGAAACCCCAGGGCTGAGTTGTTGAATATCTCCATTGATTTCTACTATACTTATTATAATTGTTTGTGGGGTTTGTTCTCAGCAGATTTAGTTATCTAATAAAGACTGCTGGTGGGAAAGGGACTTAGCAAGGATAATTGATTTGGGTTTAGCTTATTTTCAGCTTTCCCCACATTAGCAAAAATAAAATGGAAAAGCATTTTGCTAGAGAGTAGATTCTTTTAAGTTTTTGAACTACATCAATTTGGGGAATTCTCTGGGCCTTAATTTCCTTCTATGTTACTTTATAAAGTCACCCTATTTTAGTGGTCCTTTCCATCTCCAAAAAATGTTTTATTAAAAACAATTGATCAAGATTGATTAAAATGACTATTTTTGGTATTATTTCCTTAGCTCACTTTCTGGTGGAGTGATAATCAACAATAAAATGTCCCAAAACTACTTACCTTTGAAAAGAAAATGAAAGGATTGGATCTCCAAGTAGTCAGCCTATGAATAATTGAGATTTTTGACCTCATTATAGATTTAGTTGAATGTATACTGTGTATGTGGGTACACACACACACACACACACACACACATACATTTATATATATATATATTTTTAATTTATTTTTAGTTATACAGGGACACAATATCTTTGTTTATTTATTTTTATGTGGTGCTGAGGATTGAACCCAGTGCCTCACATGTGTGAGGCAAGCACTCTGCCACTGAGCCACAACCCCAGCCCTATATTTTAAGAATACATTTTCATGATAATTTTGATACTGACGAAGGGAATAATTACAGCTTCCATTTATTGAGGCTTGACTGTGTAAAGCACTGTTTCACTCATCATCAGTAGGTAATTATTATTATTAATAACTTGTAAAACTTTCTTAACAGGGTATTTTTTGTGTTCCTAGATAAAAATTAATTTCATTTTTAAAATTTTGATTTATTATATATGACAACAGAATGCATTACAATTCATATTACACATATAGAGCACAATTTTTCATATCTCTGGTTGCACGCAAAGTAGAGTCACATTCTTCGTGTCTTCTTACATGTACTTATAAATTTAAAAATGTACATGTTAATGGGGTACTCTGTAATACTTTGATAATGTGTACATTGTGTAATGTTTAAATCAGTTGAAAAATATTTATCTCCTCAAACATTTATCTTTTCTTGATGAAACTTTCAAAATCCTTTCTTCTGATACATGTGAGTTTCTACTTTTCGTTTACTCAAATAATAGCTATGTACAGTTCCATATGTTGCTCTTTTCTTAACAATTTACCATGGAGAACTATCCTTATTAATATATAAGGAGGCTCTTTATTTTGGAAGCAACATTTACTTAATCATAATGCCTGAATGAAGGGCATTTATATTTCCAATATTACTATTACAGTATGCAGTGCTGTAGTGAATACCATGTAATATGTAATATTATATATAGGTCATTTTGATAAGTTGTGTCAATTTGCACCCCTATACCATGCATGAAAATACCTGTTCTGTTTTCCTTTTATTCCAGTCCTAATACTCCCAGAAAACTTTGAAGTTCTTGCAAAGTGCTATAAATGTATTATCTTATTTAATTTTATACCAGTCTGTGAAACACTGATACTATTTCCCACCATACAGCAGTGCTGTGAGCACCTGGCTGGTGTGGAAAAGTTGGCTTTCATGTAGTTATTCTCTGCTCCCTCCCCAATAATTCACTTTATCATTTTTTAAAAATATTTTTTAGTTATTGCTGCACCTTTATTTATTTATTTATTATTTATTTATTTATATGTGCTGAGGATTGAACTCAGTGCCTCAAACGTGCCAGGCAAGTGCTCTGCCACTAATTTACTTTATATTAAATTTAGTTAGGTTGTTTCTCTAACCAGATATTTAGAAGGTTATAATTTTATTTAATTATATGTATGTGTATATATGTATAAACATGTATATATACTCTGCATCTTACAGTATATATCCATACATATATGGATATATTTAAATGCAACTTGATTTTGAAAGATTAAAAATAAGTTGGGGTTGGGGTTGTGGCTCATCGGTAGAGTGCTTATCTAGCACGTGCAAGGCTCTGGGTTCGATTCTCAGCACAACATAAAAATAAATAAATAAAAGTAGTGTGTCCAGCTACAATTTAAAAATAACAAAAACTATACACACACACATATGTACACACACACACACATATATGTTTGTTACACCTATATATCCCTGTTAAAATATTACAAATTCCCTTTTACTGATCAAATTTTCATCATTTCTTGGCTGTGGATTCAAGTAGCTATTTTTAATGTATTACCAATTTCCCCTTGAATCTAATCAGATTTTATAAGAAAATATAAATCCAGCCTGCAGTTTTTTTTTCTTTTTTTTAAATTGCGGTGCTAGGGGTGGAACCCAGGGCTTCACGCATTGGGCAGGTGCTTTCTACCACTGAGCTAAGTTCCCAGTGCCAGCCTGCAAGTTTTAAGACTTGTGGTTGGGTGAAATTTTCAATGTAAAGTGTCCATATGAAAATGTGTGTTGTGACTTATTCCTGAGTGAGGCAGTGTTTTTCTTCTATTGAAGATCTATTATGAGGACAAAATATTGTCTGGTTTTGTTTTGTTAATATTATTTTATATTATTAGTATCATATTTTGATTGATTAAAGCTATTGCTCAGTTTAAAATACTTCAGTTTTTGTGGAAAAAAAAAAAAAGTCCCCAAACAAATTGACATCTGAATGAAACAAGGTTCATCATTACTTTATTGTTTGGTAATTGGTATATAAATAGTATATGTAAATTATGTGGTACCATGCCTTTAAAAAGTTTTATGTGCTTCAGTTCCCTGGCAGACAGTTTGAAGTACTAGCTCCATGTTGTGTTGCTGATACAACGGAACACTGTGTACATACACATAGGTGCCCTCCCCTGGCACAGAGAAATGCCTTCCTTGTGTAGACAGAGTGCTAATTAAAGGATTTTGAACATACTGATTAAAAGAGACTATGGTAACAAAGCTGCTGAGTTATTTCTGTTCTCTTACAAAAGTCTTTGCCATCCACTGTGACCTTTTTGGGCCTTGTGCAGTGGGGCATGCAATTCATTCTGGATTGGAGAGGATCAGAAGGGGAGGGGGAGGAGAGAAGGGAATGTTGGCTCAACCCTGCTGCTGGGCTGTTGGCCTTTCATTATAGTTATTTTTAACCCCTTGTGTGGTTTAGTTTAAACATGCTAGTAACATTGCCTGATGAAGATTTGTGCCTAGTAACTAATTTATATTGTGGTAACATTATTAATGTTATAAAATTTTTACTTACTCTCATTGTAATTAGTGCTCTGATTATACTTATTCAGCTTTATTATGTAAGATTATTGGGATATTTTTCAGTGGTCATCATGTTCTTTAATTGATGGTATCAAGAAGCAGTTAAAATTGAAACATGCCTTAAAACATGTAATTTAATGATTCCTTTATTTTAATGATGCATATGAAATTCTTAGCAGGGTTTGGCACACAGTATTCTCTCAATTGTTACCTTTTATAATAACATAAAATTAAAAGGAAAATTATTTAGTAACTTGTAACTTTAAATCCCTCATAGTTATATACTTTTTAATTTATAGTCTACTGAGATTAAAAAAGGAAAAAGTAAAAAGCCAGAAGTTTGTGCTTAGTTAGGAATCTGCATCTTTATTTTTAGAGTTCAAAAGTATATAATTTTTTCTTTGTTTAGATAATATTATGTTGAACTCTGGAGGGCCATTTACATTCTTTTTAACATTGGAGTGTCAAGTTGTGTTTTGAGATAAATAAGCCACTGGTGGTAACTTAAACAGTCTGTTTTTTTTTAGGTTTTATAGTACCAGCTTGTGAACATGTTGAATATGACTTGTTTCATGAAGAATAAAAACTATTAAATTTGAACACTTCAGTCAAGTTTGTTTATCCATCTGTATTGTATGAATTTTGTATGCTCTTTCGTAGGTGGATATCCAAGATTAGATTAGCAATTGCTGCTAACTTTTTAAAAAGAGCCTCAGATTCCAATAACTGTAGATCACATGTCATTGTCTTCAGTTTCTTATCCTTAAAATGGAGTGCTGGCTTACAGGAGTTAGCAGGCTGTCTTTTTATGACCCTGCATTTATGGGAATTGCCCTGAAGCCATGGAATGTGGGGATGGGTTTCATTGTAGCAGTGTGGGTTTGTTGGTCTTTGCCAATATATTTTATAAGAAGAAATAAGAGACTTGTTGCACAATTCAAGGCTATATTTTGGCAAGTTTTTTGGTGTTCCTCATGATAGAATTACAAGAATAATATTATATTTTTGAGTAATATCTTTTATGTTCAACATCCTTAAATTGAATACTCTGTTTTGTTTTCTTTTTAAATAATGCTATTAAAAGAAATAAATAAGTTTAATGAAGTTGCAAGATACAAGATCAATTTACAAAAATCAAGTTTATTTCTACATATCTGTCGTGTTTCATTTTCTTATATCTAACTTTAGAACTTTTTTCTTCACCATCAGTATTTGAATTTCTTAAAGAAGTTCTCCCAGTTCTTCCTAATGCATTTTAAACATTTCTTTAGCAGATAAGAATGAAGTCAGACTTTCTAATACTCAGATAATAATGACTTTAATTCCAAGAAGTTAGGGGATAAGCTTAGATAAAATTTTAGTTGGATTTTTTGAAAAACAGAATGAATTTACCATTGTTGAAGTATGGAGTCCAGTTGGGAATAGAACAGAGCGAGAGAGATTTGTGAAATATTGTGCTGTGAATTAGTTTATTCAGTAGTTATAGGAATACTTCCTAGAAGTCATTCAAGAAGATACAAAGGCCTGGGGAATGCAAAGGTTGGATAGTAAAGAAATAAGCACAATAGTACAATGTATAATGAAATGACAAAGACGCTGATAAGTATTTCTCAGTTTT